ACGGATATTTTTTGGTAATGAATATTCGAATGGAGGAAAAATGTTAACCGGCGTCCCTCAGGGATCGATTTTGGGACCATTTCTCTTCTTGTTGTATACTGCTGATGTGTTTGACGTAATAGAGAATCATAAGATGAAATGTTATGCGTATGTAGATGACATTCAGTTAGTGTCATGTGCTCTAGTTGAAAAGTTTGATGATTCAGCTGAAGGACTGAAAGATGTGCTGGCTGCAGTAAATATTTGGATGTCACAAAATGGTATAAAATTGAACAAAGTTAAAACCAAGATAGTGCCAATTGGTACATGGCAGCAGACATCAAAAATACATCAAAATGCACTAAAAATGGATGAAGCCATTGTTAAATTCGAAAAATCATCTACAATTCTGGGCTTCACACTTGATGGTAATCTTACCATGCAGGATCATATACGGGGTGTCGTGAAGTCATGTTGTTTTCATCTACGTCAGTTGCAGCGTATTAAGAGATTCGTCAGCAAGCCCGCTTTGATGGCATTAGTTCATTCATTTATCCACTCACGTTTGGACTACTGCAACAACCTACTGTATGGTGTTTCAGCGAATGAAACTGCATTGTTGCAGTCTGTGCAGAATAGGGCAGCTAAAGTAGTGATGAGTGGACGAAAGTTTGATCACGTGACTACATTTTATGCCATTTTTATTTACGTTTTATCTATATAATTGAGTTGTCGAGTACGTAATGAATGTGGGTGTTTTATGATTGGATGTGTTTAGGTTGAATGTGTTTTGGATGTTGTGAGATGTGTGTGTGTGTCTGTTTCTAATAATTTGAATTGATTTATTTATATTTTGCTGGTGGTTGGCTATTCATCTATTGGTTACTTTAAATTAGATGTTATTGTGTATCTTCTATGCGTAATTGCGTTTGATTGGTGTGGGTAAAGTGTAGATGAACGTATCTATGATTTGGTTTAAAAAAGTTAATTCGGGCTACATGATTGCTGTATGGTTCTTACATGGTTGTTAAAATGACTTTGAGTGATTATGTATGGTCATAAAATATATGTGTGCATCTATATATGAAATCAAAGGGTTAATTTATTTTAGTTCTTTTTACAATGTATACTGTTTATTGTGTAACAATATTTGTGGACAAAAATTGCTATTGAATGAGTCTATTGAACTTGAAGGTGTACAGATATTTATGATTGATATGAGGTCAAATAATCCTGTTTATTTAGTTATCACTTTTTATTATATTTATATGTATGTTTATGTGTGTGTGTACGTGCATGTTTTATTCAGGAAATTAATTATTCTCTGCTTTACATTGTGTTGAGTAGATGAGATAACTGTTATATCTGTCTATTGGCAACTCTGTTGGTAAATGGATATTATCCATGGAATTTAATTTTTGAATTTATTTTTGTAATTCTATCTGTACTTTCAATTGCTAGAGGTTTTGGGCGCGTGTGTGTATATTGGTCGTGGGTGTGCGTACTCTTTGTGAGTGTGTTTGAATTTTGTTATGGAACCTTATTTATTGATTCTTTGTTAATGGCATCTTTATTTTATTTTTACTTTCGAAATATTTATGTTATTGTTTGATCACTTAAATGGACAAAATTTCTTTTTTGGTTATATCAGATAGCGCCTTTGGGTAGTTCTATAAAAGTCGCTATACAAGTTTTCTTATAATATATATATATATATATATATATATATATATATATATATATTTCACCATAATTCTCATTATATATATATATATATATATATATATATATATATATATTATATATATTAAAAAATAAGAATTATAGGTGAAAATAGTTGATCTGTCATCAGATACATTGGCCAATACAAGTACATAAAGTACACCATCTCCCAAACCGAGACCAAAGGCGCATTATTGCAAACACCTAACTCGTTTAGGCTAGACGAGCTTTCTCCTTTATGGGACTCATCAGTAGCCCAAGTTTAACCAACAGCTTAGTGCAATTCTCATCTAATCAGATAAGATCGAAAACTAAGGCGTTTTTAGGTAATTCACAAAACACATTTTAGTCGCTAGAGACGTACTATTTACTCTACCGAATAAAAAAAATTGAAAAAATGAACAAGAAGTATGGGTGTCATCAGATACACTGGCAATTAACTAATTACTTAAAAATTATCTTAGTATGCGATCTTATCTGATTAAATAAGAATTGCACTAAGCTGTTGTTTAAACTCAGGCTACTGGTGAGACATGTCTAGCCTAAAACGAGTAAGGTGTTCAAAATAATGTAATTTGGTAATGGTTGGGAAATGGTGTACTTTATGTACACATACTGGCCGATGTATCTGATGACAGATCAAATATATATATATATATATATATATATATATATATATAGGGTGAGAATTTCCGACTGGCTCCTACAAGTACGGTCGTCGGCTCCCACAAGTACGGTCGGCCAGTAGTACGAGTACATAAAGTACACCATCTCTCTCCATGACCAAAAGTGATTTACTGTGAACACCTAACTCGTTCTAGGCTAGACGCGTTTCGTCCCTTAAGGGACTCATTAGTAGCACGAGTTTAAGCACCAACTTAGTGCAAATGCTATCACTGAAGACAATAAGTTTACACAGAATAATATTGAAGACCTTTAAATTTGACTCCGCCATTCATTAATATTCATGACCAACCGAAGTGCTTCATTTTATTGTAATAAATTATTAATAAATTTTTAAGGAATTGTTTGAATGTTGAAAATAAAATAAAATCATTATTATTAAACAAATAATTTAAAAAATTATCTTTAAGAAATGTTAATTTTGGCTGCTTGCCCCTCAGTTAAAGGAATAGAAATGGTTGAACTTGTAGGTAGTATTTTAAACACAGAAGATGCTGTGAGGTGGGCAAAACAGCGCGGTTTGAAAGCAGCCACGATAACATGCCACTGTCTTGCAGACATGAGTTTTACAAACTTTTCATGCTTAAACATTTTTTCTCTGTTAATTATTTTTCATTATCATTTTATACTATTGCCTTGCATGCTGTACAGTTTTCGCATTTGTCAGTTTCTGATTTTTTTTAATAAAAAAGGTTTGCAGGATGCACAACAACGGCCCTTGGCTACTTGTGGAGGTGTAAAAACTCCAGCTGCCGCGCCAAAAAAACTGTTAGGCATGGAAATTTCTACAGCTGTAGCCAAATGTCGTTAACAAATTGTATTTTGGTAAGATTTTTTTTGTTGTTTATAAATAAATTTCATTTGTTTAAAAATGATGATGCAAGTTGTTTTAAATTTAATATAACAGGTCACGTTTTTCTTGTCTATGAATGACGTTAGCCAGGCTACGATTGTGGAGCCTCTAGATTTGAACATCAGGAACCCATTACCTGACTGGTTCAATTTACATCAGGATTTATGTATGGACTGGGCTCGTGATAGCACTGCACAAATAGGTGCTCGGACACATTGTTCAGATGAGAGCTGCATCTCATCTGCCGAGAGATCGAGAAACCAGAATGTTAGTGCTCGTTGAGTTTTTGGAGGCATGGATTGGATACGCAAAAAAAGGATGCCTTTTTGGTGGAAGTAGAAAGGCAAGAAGTAGAAAAGCGAGATGCTGCCACATTGTTGATATTGATACAGCGACATGTTCTGCCTGGTTGGTTTCATAAAGTTTAATGTTTTAAAATTCATTTTGGTTGGTTAAGAAATATAGTTCGATTTAATAATTTTAGGTACAGCAGTTTGGTCAAATCAATGGGTTGCTTATAACAGCATAACACCCATAACCGGTCTAAACCACCAAACCGTGAATCACTCCATTACATTTCAGGCAGTAAACAGAATGCACACAAATGGAGTGGAGAATTTGTGATGTGCCAAACAAAAATTTAAAAGAATGAATGGTACATGCGATGCTCACGTAGCATTATACCGTGCTGAATTTATGTGGCTGTGTACCATCACTGATAGAAAAAAATGGTTCCTGGGACTACGATTCCTGGAAGCCCTGGAACTTATTCAACATTATTATGCGGTCTAAAATTTTGACACTATTTTTTTATTAACTATTGATTATTATTAGATACATCTGTTTTCTTTTTTAAAAAATATAATGTAATTATATAATTTAATAAATATAATAAAATTACAAATAGTTCTCATGTTTATAACATTTTTTTAAATAAAAAATAATGATATTTATTAGAATATCATTAAAAATTTAAAAATTACAAATTGAAAAAAAAAGAAAAGCTTTGGTTAAAAAATTGAAGTGCTTTGGTTGGTCATGAATATTAATGAAGGGTGGAGTTAAATTTAAAGGTCTTTAATATTATTCTATGTAAACAATTCATGCACAGAGTGCTAAGCAGCTAAGGTTTTATCACAATATTGCAAACTAAGATGTTTTTAAGTAATTCACAGAAATATGATACATTTTGGTCAAGAAAAGTCCTTTTACTCTGTTGAATAAAAAAGTGAATCAACTTGAATCTATTCTACAAGTATGTGAGTATGAAGGGTGAGAATTTCTGACAAGCTCCAGCAAGTAAGGTGGACCAGTACAAGTACATAAATGCATACATTTTTCACAACACAATTGCCAAACATAATAGTTTATTCACAATTAAATTAACCATGATACAAAATAAAATAAAATCCCCAAACAAACTTCAAAACCTATTGCCATCTGTCAATGGTTCTAATAATAATTTGCAATAAGCCACTCTGCCAATAAAAGCCACTCAGCCAATTGATTAGAAGACACATTAGATCCTCTAACATTCTAAATCTAGACAGCAAACAGACTAAACACTCTCAAACAGGAACACCAAACAAAACAGATGGATAATTTAAAAAACAATAAAAAGAGGAAAAACATTAAAAAAATATAAAATTATAAAATAAATAAATAAGTGGAGGAAGTCATGTTCTCTATCGATACCTCCAATGTTTGTTTGTAGTATAACAATGTCCATAGTATAAGAGAAAAAAAACCTTATTAAAACAACCTTAGTCAAAGCCGTTCGCAAAAATGCTTCATGCGACATTCCAATAATATGTATGTAAATATTACCACAAAAATAAAATGTTTTCAACAAAAGTAAACACAAGATATCAAAGAATTTAAATAGTAATAGAAACAGATAATGCGCTTGTCACTTTATGTAAATGGAACTTGTTAATATATAAAATCTTAAAATTTTGTTCTATATATGCAGCATAAAATAAACCACATATATTATTTTTTATTTTTATATATGGCGTTCATATAATGACAGTTAACTAATAATATACATGAAGGAAAACAGTTAATTTACAATGGGATAGTTTTCTCACTGAATTGAAATGTTTTGAGCTAAGTATGCATGCGCGGTGCGTTTGTGTAAATGTGTGTCTTTAATGTCAACGAATGCTCGCGCGTTTGTTATTTTTGATAAATTTACATAATTTAAAAGTTTTTTAACCTAAACAATTTCGGCAAAATCTTATGTCAGTACCGCTACTGGGAATTGAAAAATGCGCTTTTAAACAACGTTTATTTTATTAGATTACAAGAACGGGTTATTAAAAACGGACAGGAGCAAAATGACGCAAAATTTACTTTTTTTTAATTTATTACAATTTATTTATAATTCTTTCTTTACCATTTTTTGAATAACACAATACTGATCTAAGATTTTGCCGACAATTTCAGGCCGGCAAACAAAGTTCTCGGAAACAAAAAACCATCCAAGTTTCCATAATCATTAATGGTAAAAAGGTGAAAAAAGTAAAAAGTTTTTATTACCTCGAAAGCCGGATTACCTCAAGTTGTAAAAGTGATGTGGATATCAAACGAAAGATAGCTAATGAAAATCAACCTCTATTTACAAATGCTTTTATTTTATTGTGCTGCGTTTATATTGTTAGGCACACTCACTCACTCCATTTAGACATATTCCTTTGTTTGTCTGTTTCACATAGACTGTTGTTTTAAAGCAGTTTTTATCTAGCGTGATTAGCGCATACAAAATGATAAGGTTTTGTTTCGATATTCTATGGTGAATTTTTTATAAGATTTATTAATATTAAGAGTAGAAAGAAGATTTTTAATTCGGCCAAGGTTGTCGTAGGCAACAAAGATATCGTCGACATATCATGCATAAATTTTGGGTTTTAGCACTGATTCTTTTAATAATACTGATTCTTGTTTATCTTGGTTTTCTTTTCATCTCTGTAATCGTTTTTCTCCTGTTGTTCCTAATAATTCTACTTATAGCCCTTCTACCCATACTTAGAATTGTAGAATTATATATATATATATATATATATATATATATATATATATATATTCAATCAATCAATCATTTAGTTTATAAAGCGCTATTTCCGCGATGTTCAACAGCGTTTCTCAATAAATTTAGCAAACACATGGGTTTTGAGATTCGCTCTGAATTTCGTAAGTGATGGAGAAGTAGTCAGAGAAGGAGGTAGAGAGTTCCAGAGATAAGGACCAGAAAAAGCAAAAGCAGATTTGCTAAAGTGTGTTTAACACGAGTTAAGGAGAAGCGGAAACAAAAAGACTATCGTAAACCGGCGCATTTAAGTTCAATTAATATATCTGATAAGTACTTAAGAATTAATTTAGATTGAGACTTATACATTTAAAAAATTTATCTATATTTTATAGGTAACCAGTGCAAGAAAACAAGATATGGAGATATATGAGAAAAGAAAGGGGTAGAAAGAGATATGCTAAAATCAAAGATAAAGCCTAGACTACGAAACTTGTGAGAAACATCAACAGTTTTAAAATCAGGTAAGATAATAGAAAAAATAGTAATAGAGTGTTTAGATTTATTGAAACAAGTTAATTCAAATTTAGAAGGATTAAGTTTAAGACACATAGAGTCAGACCAAGCGATAATTAAAGAAAGACATAGAGATCGATTATGAAGAACCCTATTGAGATTAGACGGAGGAAAAGAAATACAAATATAAGAATTATCAGCATATAGTTGAGTAGTGAAAGAAAAATTAATAATAACAATAATTCAGAAGTATAGAGTATAAATAGAAGAGGGCCAAGGATAGAACTCTGAGCTACCCACAAAAGTATGGGTAGAAGGGCTATAAGTAGAATTATTAGGAACAACAGGAGAAAAACGATTACAGAGATGAAAAGAAAACCAAGATAAACAAGAATCAGTATTATTAAAAGAATCGTCTAGCAGCCTCAAGAGAATAGTATGATCAACAGTATCAAAAGCAGAGGAAAGGTCAAGAGCAAGAAGAAGAGTAAGATTATTATTGTCACTAGAGAGAAACAACCTAAAATTTTATTCAAAAATCAACAGCACTACAGCCTAAGAATCGCCGAAGCCATTTTCATCGAATCTGAAAAACCTTCCATCAGCATTCAACAACGAATCACGACAACACTTCCAACTCGAAGAATGAATAACAATAACCTTAATCGGATCAACCAGCAATCTAACAATGATAATAATGATAATGATAATAATAACAACACCATTAACAACAACAGCAATAACGATAATAATAATAATAACATTAATAATAATAAATTGAATTAATTTCGCGCCTCACAATTTTGACGCTGTTTTTGCCGCCTTGACACTATTGTTCAAAATTTTTAAAATTTTTCGTTGTTAAAATTTTTCGTTAGAATTTTATGTTTCTTTTTTGAATTTATTTGTATATATTTTTAATAATATTAAAACTATAATAATATTAATCAATAAATTAATAAATAATGCACTGACGATGACGATTTAACTTCGAAATAGATCTATCTGCAATAATTTTAATAAAATGTTTAATAAAAATAAAGTTTCAGTTTTTAAACAGACTCAATTTTGTTGATAAAAATTTACTAAGCAAATTTGAATATAAAATATAAAAATATAAATATAAAAATTGATTAAAAAATTCGATTTTAAGTTGATGAACAATAATATATATATATTATATATATACACTGTATATATATATTATAAATATATAGGCAAATTTTCTGATGACCTGAGCCTGGCCAAGTTAGTACCTAGTTTCAAAAGTGACCATTCAACTATCTTTAAAAATTATGTCAACAATTCTTATGTCAACAGAAATAGCCATCGCAAAATTACTATTGTCTTCGTTGGTGAGTTTCGAATTTTAAAAAAATCAGCATAGATCTTTTAAATGATTCGAAAAAAGCATCTGATGAATTGATCACGCCAATCTGATTTAAAATTTGTTAGTTAATGAATTTTTGCATTTGTATATTTTCACCTTTCCTATCGGGCTAGTTAATACTTTTTGCATAAAATTCTACAGTATCAGATAATTATCATCATTTAATAATAACATCATAACGCTGGAAAATTGTCCGTTGATTTTAAATTTACGTTTGGCCACGAGGATTCGGTTATAACGTTCTTCCGATATTCAACTTTGGAACGAAGATTCGCTCTGATGGTGGCTGAAGTATAGAACTCACCTCCTGTACAGTTTAAAAAGGGTCCCTTCACTGATCATGATCGACGTTTTTTAAAAAAGTTTTAAAACATCAATAGTAATGTATTTTAATACATGACTTGAAGAGCGAACTTCTTGAAAGAACCCCAGAAGCGCTACTTCTGTGGGTTGTTGAATAGATGATTTTTTAAACGCTCTTGAAAACCTGCTGGATTATGTTGTCAACTTTTTTTAGTTTAACGAGTAGATCTGAAAAGAGTGACGATATTGAAAATCTTCTTTTACAGAAGTGCAGAGAAATGAATCTTGAAAGCACAAGATCTCCCTTATCGGAGGATCGCCGGCCAGTGAATCTCTGAGAAGAAGAGCTAATTTTATCAAAATTCTTTCTGGCATACGAAGCCAGAGTAGCTCATCTCTGATATAAGCATAAATTAAGTGAAAATCGAGTATCCTTCAACCAATCTAACTGCAGCATAAAAGACTGCAGTCATAACGAAAAAATAGTTTGATTCCGTACATTATCGCGTTGCAGTAATCAACTCTGATTCAACAGTCAGATAACGTCTTATCAATATTTTCACATCGCGCACTATAGAAAGCGCTTATGAAGTTTTCAAGAAAGAGGCGCTGTACAAACGTGGACATACTGATACTACGCATCCAATTAATGCAAGAGACGATTTTTCAAAATTTTTATTTAAACCTTGCAATCCATCCAGAACATCGCAGCACCAAATTTATCGGAGCAACATGATATCATTAAAAATCAACGACAGTACCACAAACTTCACCACTACAATCTTCATCACAACGTCAACATTCACAACTTTCTAAGGACACTTTATCAGTCATGAACTCACAGGGGCATTATTTTTTAAACTTCAATTAACAATCCAATTTATTCATAACAATTGGATGGCAGTTAACAATGAGCTGCACTGCACAGTTACAGTGGCATATTTTTAAAATTGCTTAAAATTTTGACTACTCTGTAACGGTGATAATGATGACAACGATGATGATTATGATAACGTTGATTAACCTGCATCTCATAACAAACGTTTTACGTGACACCACTCCTTATTATCATTTTTTGTTGCTTGCTTGTCGTTTATTTTTTGCTTATAAAACTTAACGTGTGCAACATGTAAAATTCATAAAACAAATTTTCAAGTTTTTTTCATAGAACAATTTGACAATAAAAAAATAATATCCTTCAGACGTGAAACGCAAGAAGTATGACTTACAATGAAGTTTTCAAAATAATTCATGTAAAACAATGATACTAAGCCATTGGACGAAGCATGAATGTTTCATATTTATAAATATAATAAATTTTTTTGTCTGAAACAAGGAATTTTATTTTAAAATTTAATTTTATTTTAAAATGAAAATTTTATTTTCATTATTTATCACAATAATTTTCATTTTTTGCTACTCTATTAGTGACTTCGCTTTCCAAGAAAATACTTTCCCCTTTTGCCTAAAAAATATGTTGGTCTTTTATCCAGAATGGGATTTGGACGTTCTGCAGCATCTTCAATGATATCATTTGCTTCGTTTTTGAGCAATAAGCTACATATTTGGAATGCGACGGCATTTTCGCAGCA